CAATTTTTAAAGATTGATTTGAAAGAGAGAGAGACAGAGAGACAGAGAGAGAGAGAGAGAGAGAGATCTTCCATATCTTCCATCTGCCAGTTCACTCTCCAAATGGCTTCAACAGCCAGGGCTGGACCAGGCTGAAGCCAGGAGCCAGGAACTCCATTCTGGTCTCCCGCATGGGTGGCAGGACCCAAGTATTGGGCCATTTTCTGTTGCCTTCCCAGGCACATTAGCAGGAAGCTGGATTGGAAGCAGAGTAGCTAGGGTGTGAACCAGCATTCTGATATGTGACACTGGTGTCTCAGGTGGTGGTCTTACACATTGTACCACAACTCTGGTTCCCAAACCACTTTTTAAAAAAAAATTATTTTTAATTTATTTGAGAGGTAGGGTTACAGACATAGAGAGGGAGAGACAGAGAGAAAGTCTTCCATCTGCTGGTTCACTCCCCAGATGGCCACAACAGCCGGAGCTGAGCTGATCAGAAGCCAGAAGACAGGAGCTTCTTTGGAAGAGGAGCAGCCGGGACCAGAACTGGCGCCCATATGGGATGCTGCAGGTGGAGGCTTAGCCTACTATGCCACAGCGCCGGCCCCACAAAGTCCACTTTCAACCAAAGACTGTCCAGAACCGAGGCTAATCTTATTTTCCCTCATTCCACATTTGGCCACCTCACTCACTTGGCGCTGCTTAATTATGCTGTCTGCTCATTGCTGTGGCTTCAAGTAATAATACAGCTGTTCAAGCAACTGAAGCTGACAGTACACACTTAATGAACACTTCCTTGCATCCACTGTGGGTAGAAACAGACACATCACTCCTGGGTACTGTTCAACAAATGCTATCACACAAGTCAGTCACCACCCAAGCCCCCTCACACTCACCGACTTTAATCACTTTGTGTGGGCACCTCAATCAGTGCTTGCTGGATTGTGGGAGGACACTTGAGAAAAGCAGAAGCAAAAAAAAAAAAAAAAAAATCAATCAGGCTGCTGTCAGATCAGAGGCTATCCAAACCAGCAGGCAGGAGGGAAGGTTTTATGTGCCCTCCGCAGCGATGACAAACGGCTGAAGTCTAAAGTTCATTTGCCCTGAACTAAGCCTCCCACAAGGGAGACACAGGAAGAGACAGGATTATATCTGTCCAGGATCACCCTAGACCGTCCTGATTCTGCTTTGTGTTACAACCCAGAAGTCATCCAGGAGTCCTCTGAATTGGACAGTCAACATTTTTGGTACCAATCATGGAGTCTTCTGCACATAAGCCCCTCCCAGGTTCCTAATCTCCAGCCCTGTGTGAGACCCAGTTCCCTCTGATTTACCCCAAGAACACGTGGGTCACACAGAGCCAAAGGACCGCAGACCTGAGTCTCAGATATGGCGTCTCCACCTTCTCTCTCCGCACAGCACATCCGATGACTGAGTTCTGTGGTGGAGTCTCCCTGGGGGATAGCTCAAGCATTTAGCTCTCTTTCTCCATGGCCACTGCTGTAACCACTACGGTCCGGGCACTTCACCATATGTGAAGAGTCGCAACATCTCTAAGTGGTCACTCTGCTCCCTTCAAACCTCGCATCCACATGCGGTCAGGATGACTGGGCGCTGAACCAAAATCTCTCTAAGACGCCCTCCCAGGTAGAATCCTCTCACATCCTCCTTTGCCCTCAGAGAAACAACAACAGTAAGAGCCAACAATTACTGGGCACTTGATCTGTGCCAGGTACTGCCTATCTTATTTCAATCTTCACAGCAATCCCATGAGGGAGTACGACCTTTGTCACCATTAATTTCCAGGGCTCAGATACTCGACGGAGGTCCTACAGCTAGCAAATGGCAGAACCCTGGCTCACTCTTGGGCCTGTGGGGTCATCCGTCAGCCACCTTGCTAGCCTGCCCGTCTCTCCAGCCTCATGGCTCAGTGAGCTCTCTCTGTGTCTTGGGCTTCAGGCCATTGAAGCACCTGCAAGTCCTACACCTTGACATACTGCTTTGTGCCTCTGTTTTCTGTTGTTGTGATGGTGGTTGGTTGTTTGCTTTTGCATGAATCTCTCTCCCAGGATGCCTTCCCCCCTTGGTTTATTTGGTGGAATATCTCATCTTCCAAGACTCAATCCAAGTGTTTTCTGCTCCAGGAAACATCCTGACCCCTCTTCCCCTTGGAATTGAGGGCTCCCCACCTTGCTCATCGCTGTTCTTGATTATGCTTCCACTACAGCGAGCACAGTACGGACTCCCTTTACATGGATGAGTCGGACCTCCCTCTGACACGGCTGTGAATTCCTGAAAGGCTGCGGCTGTGACTTACTGATCTAGCACAGTGGTGAGCCCACAGAAATTTACTGCGAATGTACTGGATGAATGAAGATGTTTTTTGGAATATGAAACACGTTGCTTGGTTGGAATACCCCATGCACTATATTGTGTGATTTATATTACTTTTGCTTACAACATCAATAATATTGGTATACTGTATTTCTTCTTTGCTAAAGAACTGCATATGAAGCTTTGTGAAGGTATATGCAGCTTGAGGATAACTAAAACTCGACACCCTCCCAATTAGAGCAGTGGTTACAGGTCCAGCGATGATATTATGTCCACCTGCCACCTGGGAAGCTATTCAGTGATAACAGTGAACTGTCATTGTAAAAGCCAAATTTGATATTAGGCTTATATACATTTTTTTCTTATCAGAGTATGGCTGATTCACATTTGAACTGCAATATGTACGCAATAAAATAAAACTGATAAGACTAAAGTTAATCTAAGCATTTAATTTAAAAGCAAGACCACAGTCATGGAAAATCATGACCAACTCAAGACAGCGCATTGATGCTCTGCCAGAAAGCTCACCACTGCACCTGTGCACAGGTGGTGTGGCGGAAGCGACGGGACAGCCAGTCTCCCTGATGAACCAGCAGCCAAGTGTAGTTCCTAACTGATGCACTCCAGTCCTACCTCAAAACCAAGGAGATCGCCAACCTTCCCATCCGCCCTTGAGTCTCAGCTCCTTGGAGAGCTCCTGGAGAAAGTCTGTATACAGCTTCAAGGAACTTTGCCTCTTTCCTTTAGGGAGCTTATCTTCGTTTGCAATCACATAGTCAACACTCAGCTATTTTACTAGCAGCTGCCCGCAAAGCAATGACCTTGCCTAGTTTTATTCCCAGTGGGCAGTGCATTGATAGGGTCTCTACAAGCATTTTTAATGAATGAATGATTTCTTTCACTTCCTACCCACTCACTGCCCTGCTCCCTTAAAGATGACAAGCAGCTCCTTGCCAATCTGTACTCGCACTCACCCTATCCTTCTTGGTCACTGCCTGCCCCCACCCCCAAGGATCAGTCCTAATCCTCTCCTTCCTCCCCCACCCCCACCTCACAGTCAATGAACCTGAGAAGTGGTAGCATCTAACCAACTCAAACTTTCTGACAGACGTGGGTTCAGCTCAAGGTCACACAACACCGAGAAAGGGAGAAAATAAAAGAAAATGTGGTGGCTGGAGGAGCCATTAGGTGTTTTAAACAATTCACCTAGCTCCTTAAGTACCTGTTAATTCAGTAGAAACAATTTCAACTACTCCATTCTATCATATAAACAAAAATGGGGGTGATTTGCTGAATTTTTTTTATTTCTCAATACACTTTGGCCTAGCCTAGAAAAAGTCTTGGAAAAAAACTGAGTGTGCCTGTTGTTAACACGAAGGAAGCCACCTGTGTGATCTCTCAACAAAATGATCCGGGGGCCTCTGGGAGAGGCAGGGCCCTGCGTGCTAGGATTCTTCTGCACCTAAGGGTCTCGGACTGCACCTCCCTTCCTGCTACCCTGTTCTCCTCCAACTCCCTCTTTTACATCTCCCCAACTCCACAGAGCTTTTGGCCCTGGAACCCCTTCACAGAGGCAGGCCCAAGGCACCCTCCTTCTAAAGTACCTACAGGGGCACTTCACCCTGGGAGACGTGGGCTGGAGGCAGGAGAGACAGAGCCAGGTGGAACTGGCCAAGTTCTACTTTAAGGAAGAGCCAGCCGCTAGTGGCGCCTTCCATCCTGGAAATCTAGTGCAAGGCAGGAAACACCCTTCATTCGCTCCCCTCAGTACCAGACGCCACCGAGCGGGCGCACTTGCAAGGCCCCATGTCCTGAAGAGAAGAGGTCAGTACAGACTCCTGGGCTCTTCCCCAATGGCCTTTCTTCACAGGGCTGGCAGAGTTAAGCAAACGAGCTGTCTTCTCCTCAGTGGGCCCCCTACCCTGAAGACCCCCTTGAGAGGAAAGCTGAGCTGCTCCAAGGGAGAGCGCTGGACTTGAAGGCTGCCGGCAGTGGTGGTGACGTCATTTCCTGCTGGTATATTCAAAATGCAGGAGCGGAATAAAGTGCCAAGAGGAGGCCACAGGACAAGCAGAGCAGGCAGGATGCAGGTCAACAAGGTGGGCAGTAGGAACGGTGCTAGTCCAGGCAAACATTTGTATTATTGTTTGTTTTTTTTTAAATCACGTGCGTGTCTTATCTGTTGAAAACTAGAATCTTAAACTAATGAAAGATTAACCATCAGTCTGATCAGGCAAGTGGGAACTAACACCTTCGTGTGGTGCCCCCCGAGGCAAGGCAGCTGGTGGCCTGGACCAGGAATGCTGAGGGAGGGCACGGGGCCCAGCAGGACGGGTGCTGACGCTGTGGCCCTCCCCACGACACAAGTATACGCTAGAACGCCACCTGTCCCCGTCTCAACACAAGGAAAGTTCAATTTTCTGACCGCCTCACAGGCAGAGGCACAAGGCAGCACCCCCCAGCCTGCGTCTTAGTGCGCCCTCCGTCCATCCCCGACAGCGACCCGCAGCCCCTCTGGGCTGTCACTCAGCAGTAGGGTCCCCAGCCTGGGTCCTGATTCTTCCACGCTCCGCGACCAAGGCGTAAAGGTCCAAGCTCCCCAGGCTTGAGCCCCTCGTTCGGCCGCGATGCCAGTGGCTCCCAGACCCCCGTTCACCTGCTCTCCGAGCGTCCCCTGGTCTTACCTGGCGCCCCGGCCTGGGTTCCCTCGCACGGGGCAGCTGCAGCCCAGCGGCTGTGCGTCTCCACGAGGATGGGCTTGGGGTTAAGCTCAGGACGGCACGCGCGGGCCCCGCTCGCAATGGCAAGGTCACGATCTGGCAGGGGCGCGCCGCTCCCTGGTGCTCCCAGGGCCAGCCCTCGGGTCCGGCCTCAGCAGCCCCCGCAGACCCTCTGGGCGGCTGCGGCGGCCGCGACCTGGGAGCTCCGCCCCTCTCCAGTTCCCCGCCCGCCTGCCCCCTCGGGGTCCCAAAAGAGTCCAGCTCCGCTCCGAGCCCACCTGCGGGCTCCCTCTGCTCTCTATCCCGGCTCCCCTACCGTCTCTCCAGCCCAAACTGAAAGGAGCGGACTCCCCGAAGCTGGACGCCGAGGGCGCGCGTTCCCTCTCTCCAGGTCTGCGCGTCGCGTCTGGCGCCCGGGGGACGCTCAGGTCCTCTACCGTCACCGGCCCCAGCCTCGGGTCCTGCTGCTGCCGTCGGGAAGGTCCCCCTTCCCCTGCTTCCTTGGAGATGGAAAGCGGCTTAGTTTCTTGAGGGCTTACGACGATGACTTCTCTGCGCCAAGGATCGGACTTGTTTTTAAGAAAGGTCCATCGAGTCACAACGAAAGAAATATGAATCTCGTGCCAGAACTCTTACTCCTTCTGCAGGGCTCAGGTCAAGTGAGCGCCCACGCCGCGACCCTGTCTGTGCTGCAAACAGCTCCTCGCGGACGCTCGGGTGCCAAAGCGCGCTTGGTGCTCGCTTCTCCCGCTGCGCCGCGGCTCCTCCAGCGGACACCACTGTGGCTCTCGTAGGGCCGGCACCCGCCCTCTCCCTGTCCTGTCTCTGGCACGGCGCCTAGCACCCATCACCGTGCTCCAGTATTTTCTGAATAAGTGGGAAGTTAATTTGTTTTGTAGAGGACCGGTTTTTGCTTTTCGCCCTCAAATGAAGCCAACCCTTTTGGTGGGCAGTTTTCTAGTCTCTGTAACAATGCGCCGGTCCTCCCCACAAAAATACTCCCTTTAATGTAGTAATTCCACACTTGGAGAAATTTCCAGAACAAAATCAGACGCAAGTACAGATGTTCCTAACAAGATATTTGTGGCAGAAGATAACAACTGTAAAAAACACAAAATGCAAGTAAGGCCAATAGGAAACTGGTTAAATAAATTGTGGTAGGGTGACCTAATGAGATATTATACAGCCATCAAAATGATAAACACCAAGACGGAAGTGCCTTAAGTTCTTTTTAGAATAAGGAGAGAGCATTTATTTACAGATTTCAAAAGGGCAATGTGAACTAACACAGTATTTACAAATAATATTTACAAATAATGCTAAGTGAAAAATTTTAAAATTGCATAGATACCATGCTTAATAATTAATTTATAATAATTAATAAATTAGTTAATAAATTAATGTTAATAGATATAATTAATTAAATGCAAATGCAGATTTCTTCTCTGTAACCCTACCTTTTAAATGGGTGATTCAAGAAAAGGGTCTGATAAATAGTTGAGCAAAATGTTTTCATGTTGTGTCTTTACAGGAACACAGCCCGGCAGCCGGGGTGCCAAATCCTGGGGTCCACGTCTGCCCATGGGCTTCTCTTCCCTCAGATGAAGGGTGGGGGAGGGAGTAGGAGCTCAGCACCTGTTCAACACCTGCGTGCAGTCAAGGCGGGAATCTGGTTACCAAGAACAAGTGCCAAGGGTCTGCCTCACGCCCAAACACCCGCCATACAAGTTTGTGATGGGGGTACACAGCAAAATATCTTAGAGATTTTAGTTGGCTCCCAGAATCTCCTTGTCTGTGGCCAAAATGGGAATTCATTCAACCCAAAAGCTGAATGACATGGCTGTCTTGCTCCTTGATGGTCAGCTCACACCTGGGCGTGGTGCTCACATCTGGGTACTGACTTCAAGAAATTGTCACTCTGAACTAGTAGTACTGCCGCCATTTCAAAGCTGAAGAGACTGCCGCTTACAGTGCTACAGTAGCTAGGACTGGGCAGCCAGGAGGCAATAGCACCCAGACCTGAACTTGATCATCTCCAGCAGGTGCCTGATGGCTTTGCCAGTGTTTCCCAGAGTGTATATCTTCCCCCTACACATGGTTTGCTGTGGTAAACAGACAAGAACAGTAAATAACAGTGTATCATAAGGTGGAAAATCTTACTTTTTTTTTAATTCTCTTATTCCTATGGATTATGTCAAGGAAGAAATGTCATTTTTGTGATATTTGTCTTCACATCTCTCTAACACCGGCTAATCTGTTTTAAAAGAAAGCTTGCTCCCCACCCCCGAACCTTTGCTAGGCAACAGCTGCTAAGTAGAATTTAATATCATCACTTTCTCTTCCATCTGCTATTATCCTTTATGCAGTTAATATCTAAGTGATAATAGGTTTTCCGCTTACAAGGTGGTGTAGTTTGCATTGAAGACGAATGTACTTAAACAAGAAACATAGGCAATTTGAAAGGAACCAAGAGCACCAATACTTTTGGTGTAGGAAATTTACTTTGGGATTGTAGAATCCAAACATTCATGACATACAGAACCATGATCTAATTGCATGATAGACCTGAGAGATCATCTGAGCCCCTAACTGCTAACAACAGAATTCCCCTAGGAGCTTATTTGATAGCTATGCCAGAGGGAGACGAATATTCCGAAAGCCCCACAGAAGGACAAGGTGCTTCCACTGGAATCATTGCATCAAGGGGACGCTTGTTCAATGGGCAGCTCTTTGGGTTAGAAAGTTCTTCCTGCCCCATGCTCTATTATGATCAGAGCATGGATGATATGGTGGTGCAGATTTCTGTCCAAAATGAATGAGAACTTTCCAACCACCAGTGCGGTCTAGAGGCTGCTGAAGGGCTGCCTGGGAGGAGCCGGGAGGGGCGGGGACGACCGCCACCTTCCCTTCACTCCAGGGCAAGAAGCAGTGGCAGCTGCCTGCTTGTCAGAAATGAAGCCGCAGGAGCTCAGACGCTGCATGCACTACAACTTGTGACGTCCTACCAGCCAGGGAATCTGAGACTTGGTGGCATGCCTTCCCAGAGACCTGACTTCCGCAAAGACAGATTTTGATGTAAGTTGCATCAACTCCCTTTCAGGGTAAATCCCAGGGGAGAGCCCCAAGCAAGCCTTGAGCACCAGGAGCACCACTGTGACACTTGTACCAGGGAACAGGGCGCTAGCAGATTCTCCCTCAGGTAACTGGTCTAAGAGAGACAACGTTCTGGGAGATTTAACGGTGCTGGGGCATTTATTCACAATTCAGTCTTTGCTCCCTAACCACACATTCTTCTGGTATAGACTTGGTCTGCATCAATCCCCAAGGGCAAGAGCATGGGGCTCCCCCCTCTTTCCAGGCCCGCACTTCCCATCTCCAAGCTGACTTCCCCAAGGCAGCTGCCCCTACTGTTCACTTAAACCCATTTGGACCAGTGTAAAAACACATATGGTTAAAGAGGTACACCAAGGCTGGCGCTAATCCTCCGCCTTGCGGCGCCGGCACACCGGGTTCTAGTCCCGGTCGGGGCACCGGATTCTGTCCCGGTTGCCCCTCTTCCAGGCCAGCTCTCTGCTATGGCCAGGGAGTGCAGTGGAGGATGGCCCAAGTGCCTGGGCCCTGCACCCCATGGGAGACCAGGATAAGTACCTGGCTCCTGCCTTCGGATCATTGTGGTGCGCGGGCCGCAGCGCGCTGGCCGCAGCGGCCATTGGAGGGTGAACCAACGGCAAAGGAAGACCTTTCTCTCTGTCTCTCTCTCTCACTGTCCACTCTGCCTGTCAAAAAAAAAAGAGGTACACCATGTCTCCAGCAGTTAAAACTACCTCTGGGGAGGCTGGCATTTGGTTTCATGGTTAAGATGCCACTTGGGATGCCCACATCAGAGATCTGAGTTCGAATCCTGGCTCTGTTCCCAATTCCAGTTCCCTGCCAATGAGCACCTTGGGAGGCAGCAGAAGCTGACTCAAGCGCTTGGATCCCTGCCACCCCCACCCAGGTGCAAGACTTGGGTTGAGTTCCCGGTTGTTGCAGGCATTTGGGCAGTGACCCAGCAGACAGAGGTCTTTGTCTTTCTTTCTCTCACTGTCTCTGCCTTTCATAAAAATTTAAAATAATGACTTTTTAAAAATACTTTTGGTGTGGAAATTTACTTTGGAATTGTAGAATCTTAAATATCCATTATACACAGAATCATGGTCTAATTGCATGAAGTATCTGAGAGATTATCGGAGCCCTTAATTGCTAAGAACAGAATACCCCAAGGAGCTTATTTGATAGCTAAGTTAGAGGGAGAAGAATATTGAGACAGTCTCATAGAAGGATAGATTGATTTCACTGGAATAATTGCATCAAGGGGAAGCTTGTCCAACTGGCAGCTCTTGGACTAGAAAGTACTTCCTTTCTCACTTAGAGTAATATCCATGGCCCATTAAAGTCTGCATAGCCCATGCCTGGTTTTCTAGTTTGTTTTTTAAATATCCTGTATTCTTGTGCTTGCTTCGGCAGCACACATACTAAAAAATTGGAACAATACAGAGAAGTTTAGCATGGTCCCTGCGCAAGGATGACCCGCAAATTCATGAAGCGTTCCATATTTAAAAATAAAATAAAATAAAATAAAATAAAATAAAATAAATTTTCTGTATTCTTGCCTGACTCCACATACTGGCTTCCTGCTAGTCTTTGAATGCACCCGGTTCATCCTGCCTTGAAATCTGCATTTCCTTCTCTGCCTGGAGTGCTTTTCTCCCTCTCTTCCTTTGCTCTCTATTCAAGTGCTACCTCTTCAGAGAGGGGCTCATCTGGGATGCCTGTCCTTGAATGACACAGCTCCTCCTTCCCCGACTCCACTCCTATTTCCTTACCTCCTTTGCTATTGTTTTAGGGTGTTGTAAACTTCACTGATGGGTCTATGATTTGGGTGTGGTTGTCCCTACCAAAACCCTTACTAAAATTTTATTCCCAGCATAGTTGTTTTGGGAGGTGGGGCCTTTGAGAAGTGAGTGAGTCATGGAGGCTCTGCCCTCATGAATAAATTAATGCAGTCTCCATGGAGTTCTTGGTGCCTTGGGACTGGATTGGCTACTCAGAGTGAGTTTTACAAAGTGAGCCTGGCACCTCTCCTCCCTCTCATCACACATGCTTGTCTCTGCATGCACCTGCTTGACTTTTTGCTTTCCTGCCATGTGTGGGGCAGCGTGAGGACCTCACCAGAAGCCCAGCAGATCCAGAAATGAGATCTTGGACTTCCAGCCACCAGAACTGTGAGCTAAATACATTTCTTTTGTTTTTAACTTAGTCAGTGTCAGGTGTTCTGTTTCAGCAACAGAAAATAATCTCTAACACAAGTGGTTTGAGAGTAATGAAGTTGTGTTGGGGTGGGGATGGGGTCACAGAA